CCATTACTTGCATCTGAAGAAGTGAGGTTCTTACCCACGAAAGCTTATGCTCCCTATACTTCTGTTAGTCTCAAAGGTGCCACAGGACCCTCTGTTGCTTGCTGCCTGCTGTGTAGGGCTCATAGATCCTGAAAATCGTAGCAAATCTTGTCTCTTTGATTATTTGTTTAAAGGAGACTTGCACAGCTTCTGAAGAATTATTTCAGAAGAAATTAAGTCATTGTAGCTCTTGCATTAAGTTGGTATACTTCCCAACTTTCCTTCTCCAAACCAGTAATAACACCCAAAACTCAGAAAGCATCCACTGCAAACAGAGTTTCTGTTTTATATGCCCTCTCTGTATTTCCAGCTACTTTGCTTTAACTGTGCTAGGGCATATTTATTTTTGTGCTCTCTAATGGATGGTCCCTGTTATCAGTATATCAAAACTAACTTGCTGGCTAAGCGATTTATGATCTTTATATAGTTTAATCTTCTTACTCGGTGACAATCCCTTGGTGCTAGTACTTTCTATAGGTACCTTCACCTTGATTAATGACCATGAAGAACTTCACAAATTTACCAAATCCCATGGAACTGGGATACAGGGAACACATTCTTAATGAATTTAGTGCTCTTTTAGTTGCTGTAATCACTTAATTTAGTTTAACTCACTTTGTAAAAATACTGAATATTCCTGAACTTAATCTGTGTTGATACTTCCTTTTTTCAGTTTCTCGGCACATCACTTTGTCTCCTCTGTTGATCACAGGTTGGAAAATTTGTTTTTATGTGCATAGCCAGAGTATTTCATAGCTGTTTTACGAACTTAATATTTTGGCTGTTTGGCTGAAATATGTCTGCGCCATTTATGTATTGAAAACATAAACCTACAATCTGCAGAGGTAACTTGAATTTTATGTAAAATATTCACTTGTGGACCATATCTCCAGCTTTTTATATGCCACAGTGGTATTATCCTCCCTCCCCATTGTCTGTTAGTGAGGTCATTTTCAGTCCTCTGAGAAATTTTATTCCCAGCCAGATGCAGCCCATATATTAAAAGTAGCACCTGTGACTAATATCACAGCAGCTTACCATAAATTTACATGGTAACTAGGATTATGTCTGTCAAGACTGTTAAAAAATGTCTAGATTTAATTTGATTTCCAGTATTGAAGGAGCTCTCTAACGTTTTGCTTCATAACTATATTTTAAAAGTTAAAATCACTCCATTGTTAAGTTTTATAGCACTCCCATTGCCCATTAAGTTGATTTGTTAAATGGAGGTCAGAGTAAAGCAAGTTGGCTACATTAGGATCGGAAACCAACCCATTTGTGACAAATTTAGTCCTCGCGTGTGAATCTTCTCAAAGCCTCAGCCCTGATTGGTTTCAGGTGTAGCTTATGTCAGTTGTGTTTAACCTCAAAGAATGAGCAACATGAGTCCATTATTGTCAGTTTTGCTTATCAAAAGACAAACCAATTTCATTTATTTGGTGGGTTAACTGTTTTTAATGTGACTGTTGACTACTTGCCCCTCTGTTAGACTTTTGTATTAGATTGCCTCTTGGATGAAAATAATTGGTTTTATATCCACCTAGGTAGGTGTTGTTTCTTATTTTCCTAGACTGCTCAATTTCCCATTATTCTTCGAGTCCTCTCCCATTTACTATGATTTGTACACCTGCAAAATTATGAAAGTATTTCTTTTGGTAGGTATGTTTGCTAATGTCCTTGCATTTATGAATACAATAACTGATTTGCTATAAATCAAAATTATTTGAGTGGGTTTACAGAGTAGAGAAAATCTTTGTATTTGAAAATAAGGCTTGAATATTGAATTTTTGGCCTATCTGCCTATTTGTTGTTTTTCCTTATTAGAAACTGACAGTAAAATTTTCAGGCCTCGTGAAGATTAATTCAGGCCAAAATATGTGAGAGTGAGCTGGGTCAAAACATAGTTTAGTAAAAATATATTTTTATACAATCACACCTTCCTTATGGTTATGCTTGTGAATGGCTTAGTAAATAACCCTCTTGCCTCTGCGTCAGAAGGTTATAGGGTCAAGATCCAGCTGTGGGACTGGACACATTCCACCTACCCATATCCTAGTGTTGCACTGGGTCTGAAAAGCTAGGGTGCTTGACTTCTGGATGAAAAATAAATGGAGGTTCTCTGGAGATCATTCATCTGAAAATTTAAGATTCTCCTGCCCTGGCTTTAAAAAGACAAAGAGACAACAATGGTGTACTAGTCAATGCAGCCTCTTTCCAACAATACTACCAGTTAACTGGCAGAAGTAGTTTTCTTATTGACGAGAAATGCTGCATAATTATACAGAGTCTGGTGTGATGTCAGTGGTCAGTCAGGAGCTACCAGATACAAATTAACTCCTTGTTGCTGGGAGTTTGGAAATATTTGTTATTTATTTACTTACTTATTTGTCATGGCCACTGTGCAAAATACAGAGTGAAGGATGTCTCTGCCTCAATGTTCAGTCCAAATTTTTTAAATTACCAGCATTTTTTCCTACTTGTAAATAATTGAATTATCATATTATATTGGCAACTTTTGTCTTTACTTTCACTCTCCACACACCCAAATTTAGTCTTGCTGTACCTATCTGAGCTATTTCCTTATCGCAACGTCTGTGCCCACCTTCCATGAGTGCCAGCAATGCCAGCCTCAACAGGCCACTTCTCCGACAAATTCTTTCAAGTTTTCGGTCATGCTGCCCTTTGTGAGTGGAGAAAGCTTAGTAAGAATCCATCAAGTCACCTCTTTATCCTCCAAACTCATCTCTGCTGTAATGCATATAGAAAACTGAAGACCAAGCAGGTGGCAAGCTGTGATCACTGCTAGTCAATGGCTAAGAACTCTGCACATCCCACTTAACTGTCTTACCCCCCATTACGTCTTGTTTTTTAGGTTACAAGCTCTTTGGGGCATAGGCTATTTGTACAATGGAGCCCAACCTGTTTGTGGCCATAGGTGCTATTGCAATATTATTATTAATGTCACAGTATTGAAATTAACAATACTATTATATTAAATTATATTTAAATGAATCATAATGACATTAAAGATTCAGAACATACCTTTGTGTTTCGCTTTCTTGAGGTAGGAAGAGGTTTTTATGTTTGTATCTATCAGGAGCAGCAGGCCTGACAGCCACAGGTAAAAGGTGATATGTAGAAGTTCAAGACTCTTATTCTCCAGGTGCTCTAGAAACAGAAGTTGACATCAATTTGTTATTAGTTAAACTTAACTGTGACTTAGAATACCTTATCTCTCTTTCCTTCCCTTCATTCTAGGGTAAAAAAATAAAATACAAATAAAGAAAGAATAGCGTATTTCCAAGGGGAAGAGGCTCTTCTACAATTACT